TATTACTAGGAATGAAAACTAGGCCTGTTATCCTAGAAAGAAGTTATTCCTGATTTGGCAATATTCTAGAACACACACTTTCACTTCTTGATAAATTCTGGCACTGAGTGAAAATAATTTGCTTCTTCAAAAAAATGACATTGTAAGTCTCATTCTTTTTTTTTTTTTGAGATACTCTCACTTTGTCATCCTTGGTAGAGTGCCCTGATGTCATAGCTCACAGCAACCTCAAACTCTTGGGCTCAAGTAATTCTCTTGCCTCAGCCTCCCAAATAGCTGGGACTACAGGTGCCCGCCACAGTGCCCGGTTATTTTTAGAGATGAGGTCTCACTCTGGCTCAGGCTGGCCAGGCAATCCACCCGCCACGGCCTCTCAGAGTGCTAGGATTAACGGTGTGGGCCACCGCTCCTGGCCCTAAGTCTCATTCTTAATTATCAAAGAATTAATATAAGGCCCAAGCTTACCTATCAGTAGGTTCACCTTTGGCTAGTTTTTCAGCACAAGCAATAGCTCCTTTGTGAAGCCAGCAATATGTATCCACAGCTACTACCTGCCCTTTATACTTCCTCACATGGATGGGTTCAGAAGCTTCTTTGATAAATTGTAGCAATCCTTGTATCCCCATAATGCCAAATTAACTACATGATATGAAAGGAGAAAAGGAAAATAGCAACATTTAAAGCAATCTATTCATCCAAATGTCGGAGAAAAATAAAAGAAAAAGAACTTGAAATTTGATATAGAAACTGTTACTGATTAGATATTTGAGAATCACTGCTCTTTCATATTTTAACTGAGCTCCTCTTGTCAAACAATTTCAATAGTCCAGAAGTTACAGTAATCATTAACACTACTTCTAATGTCACTTGACAGTTGCTTAATGGTTATTCTTTCCAAAGTGCTTTCACATTCACAATCATTACATATGCTCCAAACTCTTAACACAGGAGCAGGCACATAAAAAGTACTAAAAAATGCCTCCCTTCTCTTCTAAAAGACATTGTTAAAATCTACAAAACTGTCCATGCTATGACATTACACCACTTCTACAAAAGGCACTACCAAGGGCCAAAACATGCAAATTTGCAAAGTAGAAACCTGGAACACTTTGTAGAAAGGTAGGCATTTCAATCAAAAAAATAAAACAAATGAAATAGTCAAACAGAATTACAGAAATGAATCTTTACTTTTTAGGGCTGAAATTCCCTGCCATCAGAATGCATCATTCCAAGCAATAAACATTATGGTCATAAGCAGTGGTGGTGCCTAGGGGTAATTCCATCAGATTCTCTAAAGCTATCCCCAAAGAAATGTGGAAGTGTTTGCTTTACAAATACAGCTTCAAGACAAATGCTTTAACTTACCATCGCTTCCATTGCAGTTGTAGGCCCCAAAGTCCTTTCTATACAGAAATTTTGGAAATGGCACAGGCCTTTCTGAAATAATTACTTCCCCTCTCCACTCCCTCTGATAAAAAGTCAGCAATGGGCACCTGAACAGTTGTTTAGCATTTCATGATACAAACCTCTCCTACCAAACATCAAGCTTGGAAGAAAGGCAAGAAAAAAAAAAGTACAGGATCAGAAGTCAGCCTTACCCTGCTGACACCTTAACAGAGCTCTGATGCAGTTCTCAAATTTCAGAAGTGGCAGATTATCAACTCCAATCCCAGTGACCTGATTCAGTAGTTCTGGAATGAGGCTGGGGACTCAATTTTAAAAACAAGAGGCAATTTGGATGTAGGTGGTCCTCAGGTCACACTTTGAAAAAGCAATTAGTTTCTTACTTCGCAGATAATGTCTAAAGAGAATTTTCTTTCGTTCTGAGGAAAACGGACATAATAGACAATTGATGAAACTTACGTAAGTAAGTTTTTTCTAAGCTAGGCATATATCCTTGAATTAATATTTCCTCCTTAGTGTAGTAAGAATGGCTGAGTGCAATACGGCACATATCTTAAGGTGATCACGGGCAGCACCAGAGGTTACAGTAACAGCGACTTCACCACTTTATTCCTCTGTCTCGCGGAGATGTGCAGGCGTAGCCCATTCCAGACCACACGTTTGTTGTTGTTTCCTTTGGTCTGCACAACATTAAGAGAAAATTCAATTTATCAACATTCAAAAGTAAGGAGACTGCACATAAAAAGCGGACTGCCGGCTTCTGAAGAAAAATAAAGGAAGTCCCTCAACCCCGGGGCCAGCGCTACCCAGGAATCACCTGCTCTCTAATGAGCGCGGACTCTGCCTCTGTTCTCTGAATTGCAGCTGTAGCCTGGCCCACACGTTCCCTCGGAATCAAGTAACACATATGCCCCTGGGGATGACCGCGCCGGACCCTCTCTTTCCTTCCTGGCAGATTCTAAGTACCTACTGGAGGGACTGAGGTGACGCGCAGACCGGCCCGCGGGGTCCAGGGGAAACCCACCCCTCAGCCCCCACACATACCCGATCCCTCACTCTCCAAGAAAGTTTCTCTTCCCCGTCTGCTCGAGAGAAGCCGGACAGGGAGGGGTTCAGAAACGCGCCCCCGACGCCCTTCACTCACCTTAACCAGAGCAAC